ACTCTTGCAGGCTTACTACTTTCTGTATATATTCTTTAGTTTGACAGCTTAATAATATTTACGTTTTTGTCTTCAGGAAATACTCTACAGCCTCTGATGGGTTCCTATATTATAAAATATTACTGAAATCTGTCCAATCCAAACAGTGGGACTTTGGTTTGAGTTAATCAATTGAAAAATCACAAAGTAGAGCCAGCGCAGAGCGGATGTCATGAAAACATAATAAATAAATTAAATGGAAAATTAACTCAAAAATTAAACTTCCGATGCTGAGGCACCACTAAAAACCCCGACCACCGTGTGCCCAAAGCTGCCTTCAAAGTAGAAGTACAAGTAGTTAAAATGTTGTGTAAATAAACCTTTCTGTAGTGTAAGCCCTTTCATTTGTTAGTTAGGCCTTTTTCCGATATTTTTTGACAAATTATAGGTCTACCTAACATGCATATTTGCTAACAGCTAACACAAAATAAAGGTCATAAACTGACTTCAACCTAAAACTTCCTCAGATATATCCCAGAAGCCCCCAGGACACACACATCTCCCCTGGTAGTTTTAACCCCCCCTTCACAGTTCAGCAGCTCACGTAAAACACAAGAGATCCCTGAGTGCTGTGAGAAGAAGACAACCTGGTCTCACCAGAATGCGTGACTCCACCACGACTCCTTAACACCGCATTGCGTGGTGGATTCACGAACTTTGCTACATTTACGTGTCTGCACCACGCAAACAACCCCAATGTAAAGTGAATGAGGCTCCTTTGTCGTGGTGCACACACGCATTTCTACAACGTCCAGCAGTGAGCTTTTATTCTATAAAACGTTTTTAAAATCTACTGTATAGCTTGTAGTAACTCACAGGAGGCTTCTTTTATTTTATTTGTATTCATAATAATTTTTATTTTTCGTCAGAATGTATTATGGTGCATTATTCACCAATGTTTGTTCTCAAAAAACAATGTATTGTGTGTAATACAACTGTGATTTTTATTAAATTAGTTCGTTTTTAAGGAAGGCCAGAGCTTCAGCTGTGTCAAAGAGATTGTTCCCTTTAGTTAACGTTATTTAAAAGATAATTATATTCCTATTTGATTAAGTACCCTTTATTGTATTACGGACCCAAAGAGCTGAGCGTCCATTCCCATTGGATAACGGAGCATTTTACACCCGGAAGTAAGTATTCTCCTTACTGTCCATTGATTTTATTTACAGTGATATCTGCACTACTCATCAACTCAAAAACACCAGATTATCCTTGTTAATTACACAACATTGATTGGTTTAAATTGTGTACAATGCTTTTGTATTTTCCCCTTTCGATTCGGAGAAACAAATATGTTTTCGGAGTGTGTGGATGGTAGAAGACACTACACTACCCAGAATCCTCAGTTATTGTTCCGCTTTGCCTCAAGCTCTGTGATTGGTTGACCTCCAACTGCATTCCAATGAAAAAAACGTTTCGTCAAAGATCAAATCATACTTTATTCAGCAGTGCTTGCTTTACTCTTTGAAAGTCATCACATGAATGCATTGTAATGAATGGTTTGGCTGCATTAAACATTACACATCTGTCGTAGTTCTTTATTTATCTACAGAGATCGTGCCTCAGAATAGACCGGAAACTATTCTTTTACCGTTCTATTTTAATTTCACAATAAAGTTAGTAGTAATAATTTGTTTTGATATTATTGTTTTTTATTAACTACTCGACCGCTGGGTCATGTTAAGACCATCTTTTCTGTGTTGCTGTGGGTTTTTTACATCGCTTTTGTGTTACAAATATCAAAACAATAACAGAATATATCCGTCGTAAACTAAACCAGAAACAGCAGTATATTTTATTTTGTTAACACTGTAAACTTGACAGCTTTTTAACCCGCACCTCCTACTGGTTAAAGCACGTTATTACACGTTTAGAGTCATGCAATGCAGGTAGATTGGGTTGCTTTTTATTGACTGTTTTAAAATGCCTTTTTCTTAATGTCTTTCATTTTTGTAAAGCACTTTTGAATGTGTTATATTTGATGAAAACATTTAAATATTAAGAGTACATACTCTTAATATAGTGGGAAAGTGGAAGGTCAATGATATAAATAATATAGAATAGAAAATATCAAGAAGATACTGTAAGTGATCTCTACAATAAAACAGTTTAGTGCCTGATAGGAGGATGTGCAAAACAGACAAACTAATAAGGCTTTATTTAAACATTAAAGAATACTTTAGGTTAAGGTCTTCTTTTAAATAAGGAAAAAGCTTTGGGGGTATCGACAGATATTAAGCCTGACAAAGTACTTAACGTCTAATATATTGCATGGTTTGTTTTGGAACTTGACAATCAACTTTCCTTCAATGTCAAATGTTGAAGCACTTATTTTAACTGATATTATACATATTAATTATACTCTTATAAGATGTATGTAGATAGTATAAGAAATGTGCAGAATATGTTTAATGGTGGAGGTACACAGATATCGATAGATGTCTTGTGATGCACTGTTGATGAACCTGTGACCCAAGTGTTTCATTCATTGCATAACTACACCGTAGTTGTGTATATGATATGTCAATAAACCTTAGAAAATCTTGAAATCTTGAAAGGGATGTGCAAAATAGCCATTATATACAGTTTTTAATTAACTATTAGTAGAGAATAACGAGTAATGAATATGCTTTATAGGGATCTGCAGATAAATATTTAGTCTTCTCAAGCACCCACTACCAAATATCTCGCCTGATTGTTGGCTGAATTCACTGAATTTTACTCAGGTGTAACTAAAGTCTGATTTAAGGGTTGTTTATATTTCACATCATTAATCCAAATCTGTAAAGTAACTAAAATAAATGTAGTGGAGTAAAAATACCAGGTTAACCTTAAAGAAAGCCCTCAGGATTATAAAAGACCCCCATCACCCCACAAACTGTTCTGTCTGCTGCCGTCTGGCAGGCGGTACCGCAGCATCCGGACTAAAACCACCAGACTCAGGGACAGTTTCATCCCACAGGCCATAAGACTATTAAACACCTGAACTTAGAAACAACATCCATAACATTCATCTGGCTGCTACTTAGAAATTATTTATCTAATATATCATATTCCAATCACTTGTATATAGACTCGTATTGCACTATTTCACTTTTTACTATTTTACTATTTTTCTTTTTGTATTTACTTGCACTATTTGTTCTGTGTAGCCTATCTGTTTTATTGTGTGTGGGGGGGGGTAGGACACGTTCTAAGCACATGGTGTAGTCCCATAGCTGAGGATTCTGGGTAGTGTAGTGCCTTCTGCCATCCACACACTACGAACACATATTTGTTTCTCCAAATCGAAAGGGGAAAATACAAAAGCATTGTACACAATTTAAACCAATCAATGTTGTGTAATTAACAAGGATAATCTGGTGTTTTTGAGTTGATGAGTAGTGCAGATATCACTGTAAATAAAATCAATGGACAGTAAGGAGAATACTTACTTCCGGGTGTAAAATGCTCCGTTATCCAATGGGAATGGACGCTCAGCTCTTTGGGTCCGTAATACAATAAAGGGTACTTAATCAAATAGGAATATAATTATTTTTTAAATAACGTTAACTAAAGGGAACAATCTCTTGACACAGCTGAAGCTCTGGCCTTCCTTAAAAACGAACTAATTTAATAAAAATCACAGTTGTATTACACACAATACATTGTTTTTTGAGAACAAACATTGGTGAATAATGAACCATAATACATTCTGACGAAAAATAAAAATTATTATGAATACAAATAAAATAAAAGAAGCCTCCTGTGAGTTACTACAAGCTATACAGTAGATTTTAAAAACGTTTTATAGAATAAAAGCTCACTGCTGGACGTTGTAGAATGCGTGTGTGCACCACGACAAAGGAGCCTCATTCACTTTACATTGGGGTTGTTTGCGTGGTGCAGACACGTAAATGTAGCAAAGTTCGTGACTCCACCACGCAATGCGGTGTTAAGGAGTCGTGGTGGAGTCACGCATTCTGGTGAGACCAGGTTGGAAGAAGAGGGGTGTGTCTGCAGTGTGTGTGAGGAGCAGTGAGTGGTGCAGAACAGGTTTGACCGCTCACTTGGATTTCTCCTCAGGGTCAGTAACACCTGCTGCTGCTCCGTTAGCTCAGAGAGGAGTGTGTGTGTGTGTGTGTGTGTGGTTGTGTGTGTGTTTTCGTGGAGAAGCATCAGGAAGAGATGGCTGCGACCACAGCTCAGCCGATGAGCAGCCTGCCCAGCGGACTGGGGGTCTGCACCACGGCCCCCGATATATTCTACCTGCCTGAACTGGTGAGTGGACAGAGGACAGAGGAAATGACCTTCAAATCAGAGGGGATTCTTCTTGTTAGGATCCCTTTTTGGTTAATGATTTAACGAAATGTATCTAAACAAATTGTTCTTATTACAATTAATATTGCAACACACTGCCATTAATTTTTGTTCATGGCAACAAATGACCTTTTTTATTTAATAGTTGGATCATTGGTGGTAGAAGTACTCCTCTACTTAAGTAGAAGTACTAATACCACAGTCTAAATATACTCAATTACGAATAAAAGTCCTTGGTTAAAATGTTACTTAAGTAAAAGTACAGAAGTATTATCAGCTAAATGAACTCAAGTATCAAAAGTAAAAGTATTAATTGTGCAGAATACCTCTTATAAATGTATTACATTTCCCTGTTTTTATCATCAGAAAACACATTTATTTGTATTTGGTAATACGTCAATATGGAGCTCATTTTGGAAAGTACTGAGTAAATTAAATATACAGTATATAATGCATACACATGTATTTATGTAAAAAGAAAAGTTTGAAATACATTTAGTGCAGTAAAAGTACAACATTTTCCTCTGAAATGTACAACACCACATTCTACCGCTACTACAAAATGCCCTTAGTAAATAGTAATGACCTAAATGATTTGATAGCGTCTTAGAAATACTACAATTTGCCTTAATTATTGGCTGCCATAACATACCATGCATCATTGAGAATTCAAACTCTTTGAATAGAAGTGTGTATTTGAGTGAAATAGAGACATTGAAAGACATTCCTTATATGGGCTGCGCGCCTTCAGATCTCACGTTTCTCTCATATTGTATTTGTGCCACTTTTCTGAGAAAGAATGCGGTCAACTCTTCTCTCTCTCGAAGAAGACAAAAGATAGAAACTGCTCATATGACCGCTGGAATCGGCCAGAGGAAGCTGTTCAGGTTTATTTACACCTGAATGTATTCTAGGTTGTTTATTTGAGCTTTTCTTTATCAAGGGCAGGGTTGTGATGAGGTGCCATTTCAAGTCACACTTTGAATTCCAGAGAGTTTCCACTATACGGATGTGGTCGACACTTTATCTACAATAACTTGGCAAATTAAACACCACCGATCATGAGCTCAGAGACCGGTACAAAGTAAAGAGAAGTGTTTGTTTACTCAACATTTAGAGAGATGTGGCTTCTAATCCTGCTGATAAGTTACCACAGAATCCAAAGTTGTAACTGTGCAGCTTTAAAAAAGGAGCTATTGACTTTAAACACTGGTGACAAAAAAAACAAGACGTTTTTCTCTGGACTTACATTTCTATAGTCCAAATAATCTAGGTGCAGTTGTGAGAAATTGCCTGCATTCAAGTCATGTTTGATAAATAACACAGGTAAGCAGTGTCCAAATCTAAATAAGGGCGGTGAAGGATGTGTAAACAGCAAAAGGAGCTCCTCGGATCAGGACACAGAAACTGTGAAAAGTTGAACCAGAATGATCAGACCCTTGTTTAGAAATACTCTTATCCATTTTCAACTGCCTTATCCTTATGCCGTAAAAATGATCGTAAAGGAACCTGATCAATTACACTTTTAAACTGTGATGGTGGAGGTAGTTTTAAGGTGAACAAAAACAAACAGCTTAGTCCAATAAGAGTGAAAGAAAATATGTGTTGAGGTTGCAGATCGTTTTGGGGTAAATTCCCCGCCTGAAGGGAGGGAAAATGTTAGCCTTTGCAGACCATTTACATGCACACAAACCTATATAACACACTACAGGAAAAGGAGAACACAAAAAAGCATAGGGCCCCTTTAAGGTGACTCTTGCACCAGCATCAATCTTAAAGGTCTCCTATTATACTGTTTTTCATCAATATATTATAGGTCTCAGATATATACAAAACATGTCTCTGAAGTGTTTGGCTCCAAACACCAAACAGATCATTGCAGCATCCCATAATCCCCTCTGTTTCAGCTCTGTTTCAAAAGTGTTGATTCTCTGTCTGTTACTTAACAAAATAAGGAGCCCCTCCCCACGCCCCTCTGAGAGATATTTGGTTAAAAAGAACACAATGGTGCTCTAGGAGGAGATTCAGGGGATAAGGGGGGGGGGGGGGGGTTACCTTGGTTGGTGATTGGCTAATGGTTACACAAGACAAAACATCGTTATGACATCATAAAGTGGCCAAAATCTGATCAGCTCATTTTCAGACAGGTTTTTATATAAATGGATCAGGACAAAAAGTGAGAGAATCTTTTTTCCTGTAACTTTCAGAGTCTCTTTCCACAGAGGGGACACATGTTGATGTATAACAGACATGGACAAGTGGATTTTGCATAATAGGTGACCTTTAAGGTGAGCATCAATCTAAAAGAAATCCATAATACCTGCTCTTCCCTGTGTGTTTGCAGGTGTTCGGGGGCTTGGTGTGGATCCTGGTGGCCTCCACCCTCATCACCCCCCCGAATCCCCTGGGCTGGGTGATGTTCGTCTCTGTGTTCTGCTTCGTCATGACCTTCCTCTGGATGGTCATCTTCGCTGCTGGAGGGCACAGGAACAGCTCGGGCTGGGCTGCTGCTGTAAGACACCAGAGAGAAAGGAACAGATCAGAGAGATGTAATGAAATGTGACAAAAGACATAGAGTGATTGAATTGGTTTACTCCACGTGTGTCCAGGACTTTGCGTACCACGGCCTGGCAGCCTTCTTCTACCTCAGTGCCGGGGTGGACTTGGCGTACATCACCCTCCTGGTGAAACCACTCAACTCAAGAATCTACCACATCGACATCGCTGCTGTGGTGAGAACTGATTTAAGCTGTTTATTTGTATAACATGTACTGCTGCTTTTAAAGGAAAAGTTCAACATTTTGCTACATCCACAAATGAGCTTTCTCTCCGAGTTAGAGGAGACATTTTAAAGTATTTAATTAGAAAGTGTAAACCAACACATCATCATGAAAAAAATCATCTTATATCCGAGACTTAGCCTCAGAAATGTAGGCATTAGCCCATGCTCTGTTTTAACTGTGTGTGTGTGTGTGTGTGTGTGTGTGTGTGTGTGTGTGTGTGTGTGTGTGTGTGTGTGCGTGCGTGCGTGCGTGTGTGTGTGTGTGTGTCTTAGGTGTTCGCCTTCGTAGCTACACTCCTCTACTTCATCCACACCATCCTCTCCTCCATCCGATGGAAAAACTTCTGAAAAGTAAATCGCAGACATGCGTGTCCAAAAAAAGTACTTTGTTTTTGTGTGTGTGTGTGTGTGTGTGTGTGTGTGTGTGTGTTTGTGTGTGTGTGTGTGTGTGTGTGTGTGTGTGTGTGTGTGTGGACAACCTGGGCAGATTGAAATGTAAGGTTTCAGGCTCCATGCTGGGAAATGTAATGAGGTTTAAGGAAACAACATTCAAAATGAAAGGGAAATGTGAGAATTGGAAGCAAATGCTATGAAAACAATTTAAATGAGTGTCAATTATTAAATGATTTAAAGTGCTGTCATTTTGTCATGCACCACTTCAATATAACATATATTTACCTTTTTTTTACCTGTTTATTACCATTTATCATTTCCAAACCACTGATAATTATTTCACACAATGTGTTATGTTTCCTATTCTTCTTAGAGAAACATGCAGTATATCCTTAGAGGTACTGGGCTGTGGATTTGTGTTGCCTTTGGACAGTTGCCCACTGTAAACATGTTTAATAAAAGCATTTGAAATCTTTTTTGTCACCTTTATTACATGATATGTTATGAAATCCAAAAGCTGCGTCTTGCTGCTAATGGATGACTTTGTGATATGTAACCAGATATATCTGTTTCTTCTTCTGTAGTATCTATAAAGAGTTAGTCGTAAAATACTTCTCACTGATCTTTCAATTGTTTTTTAAGAGCTGCTTCTGATTATTATAAGTTGAACTATTGCCAATCATCAGTACCTACAGGGTGGAGGTGTATTTGTTTAGATTTAATCCCAAACTTTTTTCTACTTTTAAGATTAAATAAGATAAGATGTACAAATTAGATTTAGATTTATATGCTGCTAATTTGTTGATCTCTCAACCTCAGCATTGCTCTGCATCGCGCCGCACACTGACTGTTTGCACTCGATTCAACTCTCAAAGACACACATATAGCTGACTGCAATGTTCATGAAGTACCTCTACACTTATGTACTGAAAGCTAAGCATCGTAAATACAAAACCTAAAACTCACTTTGTTTTTGACAAATATTGTGTGAGAGATGAATAGGATGCCAAACACACAATATCTGTTTTTTTCACTACACATATTTTATTCCATTCTATTTCAATGTAAATACTGCTATATTTTATTTTACTATATTTTTCATAATTTTTTAATGTTATTATAGTTTTCTTAAAATAGTAGTAAACCTATTTCTGATTCTGAAAAAAAAACATAATACAATCGTAATTACCAATCAGCAGCGTCTTAGTTATAGTTTCACTTAAATTAAAGAGATCAAAAAATAATGTTTGTAAGCTTTCAAAATGTGGATTGAAATGAGAGAGGGAGTAGAGTGTGTGTGTGTGTGCGCCTTTATAAAATCACAGTTTCAGCAACAACTTAATAAAACACACAAAGTCTGCACACTATTATATGAGCTCTCTCAGCTCAAATAGAGATAAGCTCCAGTGGCGCAATCGGTTAGCGCGCGGTACTTATAAGACAGTTCCTGCAGAGCAATGCCGAGGTTGTGAGTTCAAGCCTCACCTGGAGCACTTCTATGACAAGTTGGACAATAAAAGTCTGGTGCTTATTGCTTGACAAAGTGTTGGCACTGTGTGTGTTATGCATTAAATATTGTGATACAAAAACACCTCGGCCTGCCATTCAGTCCTGTGAAAACTCCATAGTTAGATTACTACTTCGGCGATCTCATTACAATGATTCCTTGTGTTTCCATTTCCAAGACTTAAGTGAGAGTGCTTTAACTCCTGAAAAAAACAATGCTGTTCTTGATAACCAATGCATTTCTTTAGCCATTAACTGTTGGGTTCACTCGGGAAAATCATGTTTTTAAATGAGTTAAGCTGCATGATTTTGATGATCACATTTCTTTCTGTTATGGAGGAACAAAGCCTCCCTGCTGTCAGAGGACGTCAGTGTACAGATACAAGCTGCATTACTGAATGCTCCAGAGACAGAAAAGTTATTATCACAAACACACTTTCACAGATCCATACTTTATTATATGAGTACAAGTCTTTTCAACAAATCCTAGGGTGAGAAAACACATTGATTTCACAGTTATAAAAGAAAACATTGATATCTAGGATCTGAGCGTTTCTGGGTGTATCTGGAGAGTTTTCAAATGTGACGTCTTCATTTTGAGAAACAAGTAACCTTTGTCCTCGGATGACATGATCTGCTAAATTTGGAGACATTGACTGATATTTTTCTGGAGAACAAATGCTCCTATTTTTCGTTTCAGCTTTCCTGGGCAAAGCAACACATTGTGACAACCCTCCATCAGTCCAGTTGCCCCTCACTACCAGATAGTGCGTTTGACCCCCGCCCATTTTGAGTGTTTGATGCCCTGCGCGTCCTGCACGTCGACCCAGTTCAGCCGGGTGTTGGGGATCTCGTCCACGGGCTCCGGGTTGGGCCTCGCCCCCTCTTTGGGGCTGGCCACCACCACGGGCAGGGGGCCGCGCTGCGCCTGGTACTCCACCACGTGCAGCTGCTTCCTGTCTGCCAGACTCTGGTGGATTTGCTGCAGCGTGGAAGAAGAGAAAGATGTTGGTGAAAATAGGAATAAGGAGAAGTAGGTAAGAAGATCAATGTGATTGCGACGCGTATCTCAGCGGGACCATTTCTAAAAAAACGTTGGTTTGTCTGATGGTAGAAAGGAAAACAGAGATAGAGGAAAGCTATATGAACAGCTCCAGAGACTAAACATCTGCAGTGTATCATAAAAAACATAATGTGCACAGAGACACATTTCAGATGATCATTTTTCTCTACATTATACACCTGAACGTCATAATGCTTTATCACTTTCTGTTTGTTTTACTCTCTTTGTTTTCAAATCTGTTTTGTTGCTGGGTTTTTTTTCACTTTATTTTCTGTGTCTAAAGATTTGTATGTGAAAGCACTTTGTAACTTTGTTCGAAAGATGCTATGTAATCAAAAGTTAATTATATTATTATTATAACTTCAAAAGTGCATGGAGAAGGGGAAACGTGTGATTTTGGTGGTAAACTTTGTTTCAAGGACATTGCATTTCAGTTTGTGGGGCTTTAGGGTTGACCCTGGTAACGGCTTAAACCTTGTCTTACAATCAAGATGTTTACAAGTGTTCCTGGAGTGTCTGGAGATTTTTTTTAATTATCCGAAATGTTTAGGACCTCCCTTTATTGCATGATAGCGGGTTTATTTTTCGTATTAAACCGTAGCATTGGAAATCCCTCCCACTATCTCAACGAGACTTCACCTGATTGGCTAATCCGGTGAAGAAGGCCCTGGTGATGTTGAGCAGATTGACGGATCCTTCCACCTTGCAGTAGAGGTCCTTCATTCCGATCAGTTTACAGATAGTGATGATGGCTCGGTGGCAGCGCAGACCGTAACCTGCAGAGAACACAAGATAAGATAAGACTTTATTTATCCCGAAGGAAATTGTTGTGCCAGAGTTACACAAATACAATAAACACAGCAGCATATTAGTACAACTGTACACTAACAGTGGAGTAAAAAGAGCAATTCAATATCTACAGGAAACATAGACGGTCACATAATTAATGTAAATATTAACAGTATTTAGTGGTGCAAAAAAACATAGTGGCAGATACACGTTATCATAGCACATTCTCAATAATAATATTGCACATATATAGCAGCGAGTGTTTGTAATGATGGTAATGATATTTATATTGCACATAGTGTTGGTGTGGAAGTTCTCAGTTCTTCCAACATACACACATTATCATCACCATGGGATACAAGGGGTGGACATTTATACGTTTTCTCTCATGGTATATGTCGTCTGATACGAAGTGGGATAAAGTAAATTATATCAATATTGCATATACAATAAAAACTTTAATATTGTGGGTTTTTTTTAAAACCATAATTTATTTAAAAAAGGGGATAAAGGAGACAATGTTTAAATTGTCCAAATCCCTCCAATTGTATGACCGTGAGATTTTACTAGTCATTGTTCAGGATGTAAAAAGGTGAAATTTGTCCAAGCATGCAATCAAACAAATAATGATAAAAACGTTGCAATATAACTATCAATTTGTATTAGGGCTGAACGATTAATCGATTTTAAATCGAAATCGCGATTTTAAATGATGCGATTATCAAATCGCAAAGCCTGCGATTCTTTTTAACATTTTTTTAAACTTTTTTTTTTCTTCTTGTGTGTCAGTCATCCACACCAATCAGAAGTGCTGTGCTCCACATGTACCAGCCATTGTTAACCAATCAGAAGTGGCCCATGATAGAAGGTGATTAGACAGATTGATCCAATCACCTGCCAAGTATTTTTGAAATACTTTTCCAAATGGCTTCCAATGGAGCTTTCCTAGATGGTTTGGTGAAACAAAGCATCTGAGTCAGGTTAGTAATGCTCCATCACATGTTCTACATCTATTACAGGGTGAATCTTAAACTGAAGCTTGACTTTAAAGCAACCCAACGGAAGTTTCATGTAAGTTTAGTTTTTTCACTCGTAGCTCGGGCTGCGGGGGCGCTAGAGACGGGAGCACGTTGATACGACCTTTCTAGCCGGAGATATGGCCGCATTTTACAATAAACTTCCGTTGGGTCGCTTAAAAACAAATATCGCAAATCGAATCGAATCGCAATATCTGTCAGAAAAATCGCAATTACATTTTTCCCCAAAATCGAGCAGCCCTAATTTGTATCAATATTTACATCAGTTAAAATGTAGCTTTTCTTACTAGAATATTAATATTTTACTGATAAAAGTACCAGTATATTTGTATGTAGAAATGGTTTGGAAAAGTACCTGTAAGGAAAAAGTGTTGCCTACATTTCTCTCATCTCACATTTTCCCTCGTCACATAAAGTAATCAAAAGTAAGCTACACCTACCTACTAAATACTTAATGAACGGAGACGTACCTTCGTTTTGTTTCTTCATGCGGAGCGTCGTCCTCTTGAACTTGGAGTTAATGTCATGATAAACTGTTGGAGAGAAAAACAACCGAGTTACACTCTCTGGATTCAGACCTGGAAAGATAGAGAACATAAACACCTTATAACAAAGAGTCTGATGATGGTGCCAAGTGAAGGCTCTGGTGTTTTGTTATGCATCTTTCCTCCTGCTCTCCCTCAGGTCCTGTGTTTCTCTACCTGCCCACCAGATGTCCTTCCACACGCAGCAGCTGTGGATCATTATTTATTCAGACTCTAAATCCCTGAGCAGGAGCTGCTGAACCACGCCTGACAAACGGTGACACTGTACAGGAAACTGCAGCTTGATGTTGCTCTTGTGTCACATAGTTATAAAACACCACACTCGCTGCTCTCCATTAGCCCTCCGGTTTGAATACATTTTACTGAATGAGTGAGGATTTGCTCTTGGATGCTGGCACCATCAGAGGAAGGAGTTAAGTAGAAGGAATGAACTGAGATGATGGATGAGAGGCAGCGAGAGAAGTTTGAAACTCAAGAGGAAATGTCCTGCTGGGTGAGGAAATCTAAGATGCAATACTAAATGTCACACACGCTGATGAACATTTGCTGTCTCTGCAGGAGGTTCAGGTTCATTTGAAAAAGTGTGTCTTCTGTGTGAGGCATGACTCAGAGACTGAAACAATGACAAAGTGAAAGCAGGTAGGAAAAAAAAGAAGCAAATTCATCCTCCAAGAGGTTTTGATTTCTTCCAACAAAAGTTTGAAAAACGCCAAAACAAAGCATCAAACATGCCGCCATATTCAAATGTATTCTAATTGACTCATTCATTCATTTCTACTGAACACTGGAGCCACATGAATATTCATAACCAACCCTGGTCCTGTCCTTGGAGAGAGGGAATACTGCTGCCAACATGTACTGGAAGGTCAGTGGAGCGCTTTGTTTTGTTTCTCCACCAAAAACGACATTTTGTGGCCAGGTCCGAAACATCCAGATGTTGGACTTTCTGATAATGCAGCTTAACATAAATGATGAAAAACTGTTAATCACCACCAGCCCTCATCTGGTGGAAGAAATCCAAGGTCTGGACCACCACCAAAAACTAAAGTGGCCTGCATGCAATCTGGCCACTGGAGGTCACACATCGACTTTCGAATAAACAAAAATATTTCGGGTAAAAATAAAGGTTTCAGCGTTTGAGCACAAAAGGTGACAAAAATGATCGTAAAGGAACCTGATCAATCACATATTTTAATTTGACTGCAATACTAGCAAGATAAAGAGGCCCTTTTATGGTTTTTGGGGGGGGGGGGGGTTTCCCTTTCCTGTAGTGTGTTATATTGTTTTTTTTGGCATGTAAATGCTCTGCAACGGCTAAAATCCCAAAGTTCCCTCCAGAAACGCCTGCATTAGACTCTTTTGTTTACTTCCGTCACATAAATAAATCCCCAAAAGTTTGTCTTTCTTAAAAAAAACTGTGAGAATAGGACGTAAGAAGTAAACAACTAATCACATGACGCTCCAGACAGGGTCCAGATGGTCCAACAGTGAGAGCTGGCATCCATGTGGACTTGCAGAATTTAAATATACCACAGTTTTGAGCTCAAACTGTGAGGAAATACAGACTCCTCTCGCCTGGAACCGGGCCAAAACAGCAAGCCAACGTTCTCCTCCGGTGGGCGCAGGACGATGACTCACACATTCATCTCTCAGCAGCAGCACAAGTAGCCAAATGTCATTTCACAATAAGGAAGTACAAGTGGTGCACTTTCAGACCTCTCTTCACAAATCAATTTTTTCCATTATGTGGCTTGTATAGGTGCTAGCAGGTGATTTGAGGGGAAAGTGCTGAACAAGTGGAAGAAGAGGGGGAGGAGATGACGGAGAAGAGGAGGAAGAGAGAGAAAAGGAAACTAGAGGACTTTAGGTCATGGAGTTGTGGAGTGGGAGAGGGTATTGTGAGCGCCTCGGTTTCTAGAAGTAAAGCCACATTCATTTTCATGAGACAATGCTATGTGACTCACAGTTGGATCAGTATGAAACTAATTCATCTGTCAAAGGAAACTGAGCTGCATCCGAAAAACAATCTTGTTATTAAATGATATATATATAAAGCTGAAAAACGATATGAATATTAAAACGGACACTTTGACTTCCAGATAGGGCCTGGCAATATCAAAAATATATCATATGGTGATATGAAACAAGAAAGAATAAAGTTAGACTATGAACAACTTGGTAGCTGTAACATGAACAAATGAGTGTTGCATTATCAACGGTAGTGTTTCCATGCTGAGTAACAATGAGGATGTTGTTAAAGTCTAAAAGAAAAAAAATGCACTTACTGGTCATGTCGTTGTATAGCTCTATGTAATGCAGGTAGTGGATAGCTCGGTTCTTGGCCTGAAGATCACACAAACACATTGTTGTCATTGGTTTGCTAAGTCTTTGTTATTATTATTATTATTATTAGCATCTAAGTTAGGAAGTTGCTGCAGTCATAGAAACATTTTTATTAACGTAATTGTTAAGTTACAAAATCATAAGAAGCAGAACACAGGATTTTCTCTGTGGGACTGCCCTGTGATAAAGCCTTTTGTAAAGAAAATACTGAGTTACGTAATAATTGTGTACAGCCATATATTTATAGATGTATATTTGATGTGGATCTTGTGGCATATATTTTAAACTGGTTAGACTTTCTTGTATTACAGAATCTGAAGGGACCAAGTATCTGTTCATGATATACACAACAGTTTGGATTTTTATGCAGAAAATGATGAATGAAGTAATCTGGATTTGGTAGAAATGAAGTGTCCTGTTATTGACTAAAAGCTATAAAAGCACTACTAAATTATCCTTAATGCAAGTTATTATTCATCAAAGCCCTGACACTCTGGTACAAACAATGTATTGTAGTACGTCAATTAGTATTGTACTACTCAGTTTGACCTAATAACTTGGAATTATATTCCAATATATAATACAAACATGGGGATATTAACACAAAAGCTGACTCGATTAACTCAGAATGAAATAACTCTGCGGTCTTACCTTCCTCAGAGCTGTGTTTCTGTCTGCTGCTTTACCCACTGCAAATCCTGGTGGAGAGAAGAGAGACGAATGTGGTATTCATTTTTAGCAATACTGCAAATAAACGCATATATCATGAGCTTATATGATCATTGTAACATGTGTATTAAAGCAGCCCTAGCAGCCTCTGTAATGACAGGTTGAAGGCAGGTGGATCTCAGGAGTCTGTGGAAGAGTTTCCTCAGCATTTCTGCACATTTGATTTTGTAGCTCACTTCTGAAAAGCTGTCAAATATATTTCCCCGTATCTACACAGAACACCTTATTTTCCCAATTTGAGAAATGCACTGAAACTGTCATAAATCGATGTGGTTCATGTTCTTAAAACATTTTTTTAAAGGACATTCTTCTTCATTTCGTTCAAATTATTGTCCGTGCTGTGACATAAGTTTAATTAGAGGGTCTAACCTGCGGCTCCGTTGCCGTTTCCCACGGCGACGAGACAGCTGACGCTCCTCTTCCTGCCCTCCTTAGCTGTCATTTTGAACACATTCTTCACCTGCAAACAGCAAGAGATACAACATAAACAACTGACTTTAACACAACCTGACTTCTATCAACTTCTGAGTCTTTTATAATAGATTTAATTCATGATCCCAAATTGTGAAATTATTTTTTAACACTTATTATATAAACATTTATACAACTCTGTGTGTGAAGTGCCTGAAAACACGTTGAAATACCAACTACACACACAAACCAACTTAAAGAGTTTCCTTTGTGTGTTTTGAATATAGCTATAACTGTGTTGGACATGTTATTGGTGAAATTGGTCATTGTGTGCCATTGTGTTTGTACCAAGTGTATTTAATCAGAGTGAAATATCAGCCAATCAGCGTAAGCCATTTGTGATCTGATGTGATTTGTCTTTTTTACCCGAATCTCCCACATGAACAAAGAGAAGACCAAACAGAAACCTAATGAAAAGAGGCTTGTTTTCGATCTTATTGTACATGTTATAATAATGATGTAATATATTTTGATTTAAATCCAGTCTTGATTCCATAGGTTTTTGAAGTTTCTGCTCCAGGCTAATAAAGGTATTGTTCCAACTAAAAGAAGTGTCTGTGTGTCAGTGTGTGTTTCTGCGTAGGTGAAAGCATTTGCAGTTGTAGCACTACAACAGATTGTTAAGACAGTTTATTGTGTGTGTGTGTGTGTGTGTGTGTCCGTGTTGTCATTCCAGACCAGAAAACCTGTCCAGATTTGAGTGACTTTTATCGATCTGTTAGTACAGCGAGCAAACAGTCATCTATCTAACACGCACACACACACACACACACACACACACACACACACACACACACACACACACACACACACACACACACACACACACACACACACACACACACACACACACACACACACACACACACACACACACACACACACACACACACACACACACACACACACACACACACACACACACACACACACACACACACACACACACACACACACACACACACACACACACACACACACACACACACACACACACACACACACACACAGCAACCTGTCCTTCCTCCTGCACCACGCAGGCTGATTTACAATCTACAATTCATCACCAGGGGGCAGCATTGAATCACCACCCAGAGAGGAAGGAGTGGCGGAGAGAGGGGAAGTGATTAGGAGAAGGAGGAAAGATGAGGCTGGAGTTAACGAGAGGGGGAGAGAGAGAGAGAGTGGGTAAAGGAGGAAATACAGAGGTCAGAAGAGATGGATGAGAGAGGAGAAGTGGAGGGCTTGAGGGAGGAGAAGAAGAGATTACAAAGAGATTTTAAGAAAGAAGAAGGGACAATTAAGGATGAATTGCCTCGTTAGACATGACATTATTTAGATGACAAAAGGAAGAGGAAACAAGGAAAGGAAAGGAAACCAGTAGGAGGGAACGCAGACGAAAAGGGAGAGGAGGCCGGGCGACACAAGTGAGCAGCAGACAGTGAAAGGTCTCTGTCTGTCCAGAGTCACAAACAAAGTGTGTGATGTATTGTACACGCGGATATGTGTGTGTGTGTGTAAGAGAAAGAAAGACTGTGAGTAATTGTCTGATGAAAAGAGTCAGTGTGTGTGGTGCCTTGGCAACAGATGAACAAACTGCTGACTCCGCAAAAACCGTAATGAAGAACAGCACAACACACACACACACACACACACACACACACACACACACACACACACACACACACACACACACACACACACACACACACACACACACACACACACACACACACACACACACACACACACACACACACACACACACACACACACACACACACACACACACACACACACACACACAGCTTATATTGAAGTATATACAGCAATTACACGGTTTTTTTCATAGCTAATAAAAGAAAAAAACAACCAATACGTTATTAATTGTCATGTTTCAACAGGACTTGAATATACTCATAGCAGTGTTTTGTCAGAAGTGTCTGTAAACGCCTCCAGTGATCTGGAGCTTTTGGCTATACATTGGTCATTTTAGGCGACATCCACCCATTGCTGCTAATAAAGTATATACTGAAATAATTATGTGGTTCTGTAAAAAGGAGGGCAACAACATATTCCTTTAGAAACTCTAACTGTACAGAGATCCTCTCCAGATGGCAACACTGTTTTCTGTGAATTCAAATCCAACACAAGTTGTTATTTCTCATGTTTCAATGTGACTTTTATCTAGTTGTCAGAAATGTGTTTTAAGCTTTACATTTGTCATTTTAGGTGAGATTCACACAACGCTCTCAATTAAGTATACATAGTAATAATAGTTTTTTGTCAACGCTTAAAAGCAAATTACACACACTCAACATTCTCTGTGAATCTTTTGGCTGCAGGCCCGTAAAAGGAGGGCAAGGCAAGGCAGTTTATTTATATAGCACTTTTCTGTACGCGACAATTCAAAGTGCTTTACAAAACAAATTAAAAGACTTTTTATGAATAAATACTGTAAAAACACATTATATAATGGCATTTTACAACGGGCATTACAAAGCAAAGATAATAAAATAATAAAAATAAACACCACAGGTATACAATACATGTTTAATGTAGATGGGATCTTATACACTGTTTTTGTAAATGACAAATAACAAGTTCTTATTTCTTATGTTTTAATGGGACTTTTATCTAGTTTTCGTGTGGTGTGTGTAAATGCACCAGGTGATGTTTCGCTATACATTGGTCATTTTAGGTGACATACACACAATGCTGTTAATAAAGTATATATAGGGTTTTTTCCCCCCTCAATGCAAATTACACACATTCAATATTCTGTGTGCAGTGTGCAGTGGCTGCAGGCCTGTAAATAGGAGGGCATCAACATATATATATATATATATAAGTAAACTCTCCACTTCTGCAGAGATCCTCTCCATACGGAAACACTGTTTTTGTAAATTAAATCCCAACAAGTTCTCATGTTTCAATGAGTCTTCTTTTTGTCAGAAGTGTGTGTAAATGTCCCCAGTGATGTTGAGCTACACATTGGTTATTTTAGGACATACACACAATGCTGTTAATAAAGTATATACCGTATTAATAGGGTTTTTTCTCCACCTCTGCAGAAACACTGTTTTTGTCAATTAAAACAAGTTATCATGTTTCAATTAGACTTATTTTGGTCAGAAGTGTGTGTAAATGCCTGCAGTGATGTTGAGCTTTTGGCTTTGTATTTGTCAGTTTGGGTGTAGTTGCAGCAGTTTGGGAGTGTTAGCATTAGAGCAGATGGACGAGAGACAGCCTGGCGGTGGGAGGAAGCTTCAACTCGCTCTCACTGTTTCATCTCTTCTTTTCTCAATCTGTTGCTGCGTGTCTCCGTCTCTATCTCTCTATCTGTCTCTGAGCAGGGGAGGAGTTTTCTCCACAGGGAGGAAGAAGGCGCTGCAGCACAACCCTCCGCCAACGCTAAACACTTCTCCGACTGGCTGTGGCACAACCACACCTCGATTATTTTTCTAGGACTTTAAGTTGATATCTTGACTCTGAATAGTGAATAGAGAGTCTGTTGAATCCCACAAAAGAAAATATTTCGTTCATATGGTGCGCTTAAGCAATAGCTCACGACAGGCCGTGGTATATGGCCATTATATCACAGTTAAGGGGCGTGGTTCGGCCCGACGCGAACTTTTCCATATACTGTATTAAACTCTGTGGGAAACTTTACAAGTGTAAAAGATTATTTTACAACAACAGATTATATTCTCACATTTAATTGATATTGTTGTACTTGTTGGCAATTTAGAGTAAATGTAAGTAAATATACAGCTTTGTGATACAAGAGCTCTGTTAATCATTCCAACAACTCAACACTGTTTCATTTAAAGTGGACCTATCATGCTATATTTGAATAATATAGTGTAGGACCATACCTATATAAGGCATATTTATACTTTTATTTTTTTCAAAATACCAAACAGATCATGCATTTTAGCCATGCCTCATTTTGCTCAATTTGACATTTTTTAGCTCTGTTTTTGCAAGGGTTTATTCTGTGAGCAACAGCACCATCTAGAGGCCTGGCATATGTACTACAGCGTCTCCAGCGCTTTCGAACGGCAATGGCCGTGGCTGTCTCCTCCTGTTTGGTGGAGTTGGCCCAATAGCCGTAGCGCCACCGTCCTGACGTCAGGACAGTGTTCAAATCTGGATCAGTTTTTATCAGATCCGTTGCAGCCCCTTTTTTAGAGATTTGGGTATGGAGGAAAATAGAGAGGGTTGTGTTTTCTGACACTTGGTGAGTTCCCTGGAACACCGGGGACACATATTCATGTATAAAAGACGTACAAAAGTGCATTTTGCATGATAGGTCCCCTGTAAAGCATCTTCTCTGTAGCAGTATCACAGTAAATAAAGCTACATCTAAAACCACCGTTATATTGTTACTGTAGATAATTTCAAGAGGTAGTTAAAATCAACCTACATTTTGTTTCTTATTTACATTTTAGAAAGAGTTGTATAGTCTTGTATCTATATTGATATAAGTGCAGATATATTCACTTCAAGCAGGTCATACCAGCAATTACTATGGTATGACTTGCTTGGAGTGAATATATCTGCACTCTCCTTGTTGTTTGGAGTTTGAATCTCGATGGTTTTTGCCATTACTTAAGCTAAATTCAATGCAATAATGATATTATACCAACCATTCTGCTACCCCTCTTAAAATCATTGTGATCAAAGGCATGGTTGAATGAAGATATATGATTTGATATTATTGTACAATCGAGAAAGTGGCAATCTTCTCTGTTGTTGAGAGACCATAATATCAGACATAGTTGGAGAAGCACCATTAATTAAAAAATGACCAAAATGGGATTTTAATTGTCTTCAATTACAGAAAAAGTCTTTATGATTTGCCGCTGGATATCTTAAAATTACATTTACAGAGGAACGAGGTAGTAAACTTTTAACAGCATTTATCACAAATGCAGGTAATGCTTTTAACAAATTAAAAGTCTCTCTGCATTAACGCCCCCTCAC